ACTCCGACCCCTAAATAGAGCACGTGAAGAGCAGGCTCACGAAAACCAGATTGGTTTTTGATCTGAACGTGGCTGTATAGACCATATATTCACACTCTTCTAGGACCTGTCGTAAACACACATTTCGGCGTCCGACAATAGTTGTCTTTCTGCACCTTAAAGTAGCATTCGTCTCTGTCGATCGTGAGGTACAATGGCTGTGTCTGTTATTGTAAGGTGCAACAAAGAAGTACATTAACCTTGTACAGGCTCTCTACTCGAACACTACTGGTCGAGTCAAAGTTTATGGCAAACTGGAATTGGAATTGATTATCTCGAATGGTGTTCGTCAGGGCTGTCCACTTTCCCATTCTTATTCAATTTTTTCATTGACATGAGTGTAGAGATGACAGTTTCATCGTTGGAATTTCCAGGAGTTGAAATTTCACCGAGATTCACTTATTGACTCAAAATATGCAGATAGTATAGTTCTGTTTGGTGAAGACGCTGGGGAAATGCAGTCCTCTGACCATCTTAAACAACAACATAAAAAGTTTGGGATGCGACTCCTCGAAATGTAAACTGCTGTTTGAAGATTGGGTTGCATCGGCACCTAGGGAGTGAAGTAGTTGAGCGTATTGAATCACCAGTGCTGACTGCCTGGTGACGAAATCTCGGCACGGGTACAGAAGGCTTAACCAGTCTTTGTCAATTTGTGTCAGCGAGATATGCGTCTATTAACACAGTGCTGACTGCCTGGTGACGAAATCTCGGCACGGGTACAGATTCAGGTTGACCGGAGATCGTGGGTAACCGCAGTGTGGCTGAAGGCCAATCGAACTTGTCCCAGAAGTGTTCTGCCCATCGATCCAATCTCCTGGATTGAGAAATAAAAATAAGTCCATCCTATTCTGAGATAGTCTCACAGTCGGATTCAGCACACCATTCTCCTTGATAATTTTGAACAGTTGTCAAGTGTTGCCTTTTCCATCTCCCTTGCTTTGGCTGCCCACTACTGTTCGCAATCATTTCGTAAGCTTTTTATCAGTCTGTGCCTAAGTTGACTCCGCTCTTCATCGTATACTCAGAGCCAAACTGGATGAGTTTTTGATCGTCTACCAGTTCGGCAGATGCTACTAAAATCCACTGTTTCTCCCCAATCTTTTGGTTTACCTTACTAGCAGATATCACTGCCGTCTCTGCGGCTTTTGTGATATCGTTCCAAGCTGCCTCAGGATGGGGATGTTTTACACAGTCGCCTAACCGTAGAACCACAACAGGTTTCTTTGCCACGTCTTTCCTTTCTTGTAAATTGTAACAGTCAGTGATTGAGATCAGTCAGATGGTATTACGCCCAGTTCTCAGATTCTAACTAAGATGTCAGTCAGTGTAACTGTTAAAACTGGATCACCATCCTCAAAAATCTCAGGCGTCAACCTATCAGGTCCTGCTGCTCCCCTCGTGTCAGATTTCCTATAGATTTTCATTTTCATAATCATTCGGACAACTTACACCGGTTCGCCATTCAGGATGATTGGAGATCATGGTTAAACGCAGTGTGGCTGAAGGCCAGTTGAACTAATCCCTGAAGCGTTCTGCCCATCGATCCAAACTCCTGGAATGAGAATAACGAGATTATCCTTTTATGCGATTGTCACGCTAACAGATGGATTTCTAATACCGGCTTCCTTAGTAAGTCGGAACAACCGTTTGCTGTTGCTTGTCGACGCTGCCTTTGACGAGCAATGTTGTCTGAGCCTGTATAAGTTTAATGTACTTCTTTGGTACACCATTTAATGACAGATACTGCCACAGAACCTCACGATCCGCAGAGTCGAATGCTGCTTTAAGGTTGAAAAATACTACTATTATGGGGCGTCTGAACATGTGTGTTTGTTCTAGGACGTGACGTAGTGTGAAGATGTGGTCTATACAACTACGTCCAGGTCTGAAACCAGCCTGGTTTTCTCTAGTCTGCTCTCCCCAAGACGACTTTCGTCCTTTCTTGTAAATTGGGACAATCAGTGATTGAGGCCAGATTCTACCTAAGATGTCTATCAATCTAACTGTTAAAACTGGACCACCATCCCTAAAAATCTTAGGCGTCAATCTGTCAGGTCCTGCTGCTCCCCTCGCGTCAGATTCCCTATAGCTTTTTCAACTTCATTAAGACTCGGACAACTTACACCGGTTTGACATTCAGGATGATAGGAGATCGTGGGCAAGCGAAGTGTGGTTGAAGTGTTCTGCACATCGATCCAATGTCCTGGACTGAGAATGAATGATACAGCCATCCTATTATGCGATTGTTTCGCTAACAGATGGATTTCTAATACCGGTTTCCTTAGTAAGTCGGAACAACTGTTTGCTGTTGCTTGTCGACGCTGCCTTTTCCATCCCTCTCGTGTTCTCCACCCACCACTGTTCGCGATAATGGCGTAGGCTTTGTATCAGCCAGCTAACTTCGCTCTTCATGTTCAGAACTGGGAGGTATGAGTTTACGAGCGTCTATTAGTTCGATGGATGCTACTGAGATCCACGGTTTCTTCCTTCACTTATAGTATACCTTGCTAGCAGATATAGCTGCTGTTTCCACAGCCTTTTCGATACCATTCCAAGCTGCCTCCGGATGGCACTCACTTACGTGGTCGCCTAACTGTTTTACAAGTTGCTACTGAAATATATTCTTAGCTACGCTATCACTAGGTAGAACCGTAAGAGATTTCCTTTCAGAGTCTTTCCTACGTCCGGTAAGTCGCAAACAAATACGCGCTCGCACTACAGCATGATCTGCAGATACGGACGGGTCATCAGTTGAAGCCGTTAAGAAATGGGTTATGTAAATCTAACCACCGCCTATCTCGACAAGCAATGTTGTCTGATGTACGAGTAGGCTGGAAGCTAGGGGCGGTTAGAACAAAACAGCACGAATTCACTAACTGGACTGAGCCATGTTAGTATTGAGTAGATCAGCAGACGGGTTCGGGAGACAAACATAACCCGTGGTTGGAGACTGGATGACATGGTTCAAAATTACATGCACTGGCACAGAAACATCCATTCTTTGTGTTCTTCCGATTTCTAGTCTTCTAAATTCTTCATAATCTTTTTCCGAATTCACGTCACTGGGATATACTTTTCAAATCATATCTTCGATCTCTAAACTTTGCTATTACCAGTAATGCTTCTGCAGCCTATATCACTAAGGGATTTGACGAAATCTCAGCGTGGATACAAAAGGTTTGATTGGCTTTTGCCAACTTGCGTTATTTATCGTGTGGGTGAGATATCCGTCTGCTAACCAAAGGACGAGTCCACTGCACAGCAGTCCGCTCCATCCTAATTTATGGCTGTGAAACATGGCCAGTCAGAGTAGATATTCGTAGGTTACTGGTGTTCGATCATAGGTGCTTCAGAAGCATAGCTCGTTTATCTTGGCACTATCGAGTAAACAATGCTGTTATTACGAAGCGGGTACTAGGTAAGCATGGCAGATCAATAGATGAAGTAGTGAAACCTTATCAGATGAGGAGATTGGGACGTGTGGTACGTATTGCCCAACCACTGACCCCCTCGACAAGCGATGTTTTGTTGTGTAGGTTGGAAGAAACCTAGAAGCGGCCAGACCAAAACATGGCGCAAATCCACGAAGTCGTTGACAAGTGGACTGAGCGATGATGCTAAGTACAGACCATCTGGTTAGACCTTGAATGACACTGTTCAAAACCGTTTGCAATGGCGCACGTGCATCCATTATTTGGCTCCTCTCAAATCCCAATCCTCTGAATTCCGCATTACCTTTATCTTCCTCTTACTTCTCAAATACCTTCGAACCCTAATTTCTCTGTCTCTACTGTTATGGGATTTCAATTGACGTCTCTATGCGAACGTGGTATGGCAACTTGATTTGATGTATGTACGTAAGTTCAACTTGCTGACTGGTGATTAGCAAAGGCCCATCAATGCTGTATTAGAAACTCTTGATTAGCAAATATAATTTGATAAATCTTCAGATGAAATATTCACCTAACTTTCGATTGTTAATACAAATTTAAATGAGCAGACAGATATTCAACGTAGAACTTCGTACGTACGTACATCAGTTCATGTTGCCAAACCGCATTAGCACAGAGATGATATTCTCAATTCAGATCCAATAGCAGTAGAGGTAGTAAAGGTATTAAACGTAATCGGAGAGGTTAGGATTAGAAGATACTATTCGATGATTATCATCTCGCGGACCCCAACCAGGTAGTCGACAATTACCGACATGACCCAGTCCAATTGTCAATGACTTCATGGATTGCTGCCATGTTTTGGTCTGGCTGCCCCTAACTTCCTTCCAACCTACTCCTACACTACAAAACATAGTCCATCAAGGCAGTCGGTGGTTAGGCATACGTAGCACATATCCCAAAAAACTCAAATGATGAAGTTTCATTACTTCATCTATTGATCTGCCATTCTTACCTAACACCCGTTTCCTAATAACAGGATTGCTCACTCGGCAGTCCCAGGATATACGAGAAATGCTTCGAAGACACCCATCATCGAAAACCAATTTAAATGAGCTATTTACCTTGAGTTCAACAATGCAAACAGGATTACAACATTACTGGGGTTTATGTGCGCCAGGTCATTGAGTATGGGCATCTAGGTCCACTATTAACTAAAACAGCATGATAAAAGCACCAGGCAGATATCTTAAGTTAAACATGGGGTTACAAGCTAGAATCGAGAAAGTACGATAGTTTGTATACAGAGAAAGTCACAGCTTTCCAACCGGTGAACTGCTAATACGCCCTATGTAATTCCTATGCTTTAAGACTGTTTACCCAGACAGACAGCCAAGAAGGTTGAGAGCATCTACAACCTTTGAAGACAACACACACATTCACAAGTCATTCGGCTTTCTACTAATGTCAGGGAAAACCCGGCAACCATTTGTCTCATTCTGGTACGGCAACAGCTTCCACAAGAACCTGACAACTTATAAGTTAGTCTGTGGACCTCAATTCCCATTATTTCACGATATTCAAACCGCTCATACAAGTCACCGAGACTGACAACAAAAGACTGAGAAAGTGAAAGTCAAAATCTTTATTTGAAAAAACTATGTACAAAGAACTATGAGATTCACAGTGCTCGAGGCTTGGAGGGTCAATATTGCGACACGGAGCGAATGACACACCAAACACAAGTGGAAAGACAATGGTACCAATAGCAAAACTGAATTCCCATTCTTTAAGAAAAAGAAATGGATGAAATTACGTTAATCACATGTACATGGTTGGTGATTAGGATTTCGGACAAAGGGACTTTACACATTCATGATTAGCATAATCATGATTACTAGACATCATATCCTGATCAACATCGTCTAAAGGTGCACTAGACATATGATCGGAACAACTAACACTTGACACAGTTAAATCTGCTACACTGATAAATTCACTATCTTCATCCCACTGAGAGATGGTTGAGCGCGATTGCTCTAAGACAGACCAACAACTATGGGATTTCTGTGAAGAACGCATAGCCTCCCAAGTACTTAAGGCCTTACACAATAGGTGACGGTTAAGTAACTTGCCTGGGCTTTGCTGTTCAAACTTCTTAAGCTTCCCCCTCCCGACGTGGACCAAACGTTTGAGCAATCGGTAGTTCTAAAACAGAGTAGTGGTTAAAACGGAAAGAGTACGAAACATACCGACATAGGCGGATGAAGTGCCAACACACTCGTAGATGCGAGAAAATTTGAACAACAATCCCGCCGTATCACTTCCAATATCCAATATCTTTTTCACGAGCTAGTGGAAACCAATTGATTTCTTTGCGTTCGATTCTTGTTCTTTCGGTACGGTCCCAAGTGTTCGGTAATATCCGATGGATGGAGGTCTAGCCAGTCGACTGTCTACTTCTAGTCAGTAGGCAGTTATTTATTAATTCTTATGTTCCGTGATTTGAATGAGCACGTTTGTTTTAAAGAAATAGGATTTCTAGATACCAACAGATATCACGCTACCAAACCGGAGTTCAGTTTGTTACAATAAGGAGAACAATAATCGGTAAATTCTAATGCTAAGAAGAAGACAACTTCATAACTGAGTAAATAAACGGGTAATCAATTTAACTGATCGGTAGTGAAGACTGTGCAAGGGAATTGTGGTGCAAACGAAAGAAAGGAAACCGAGATAATAAGCGTGATATTTTTCAAATCAGTGATTTGATGAAATGGCATCATAACAACTAGAAAGTCTCAAGACTTGCATCAGGCCGTATGTTAGTAAATTTTCATAAAGTATCTTCTTAAAGTTGCCTACTGAGAGGGCTGTGATCACCTCAGCTGAGAGAACATTGCACGTCGTAATCGCTCTTTGATGCTCAATTTTTCGAGGATTGCACTGAGGGGCGTGGTGGTGCTCATGTTGGGATGGTTAGGCCTTCTTAATATGTTCTATGCTATTAACAGATCACTTCTTATTCTCCTGTAACTCAGAGAGAATAATCCCAAGCTTGGAGTCTGTCTTCGCAGGTTTGATTTTTCAGCTCTATCGCTCAACTATTTGCTCATCCGTGCACTCGATCCCAAAACACTTATGACTCTTTTAAGGAGATGGGGTGCGATTGTGGTGACCGATTTCGACGTTTTCTGAAGCTTCGTGATGAGCTCGTCCAGACAATAGTTACTAAATTGCGTCTGACGGTTTATAAATCAGAAGGTGAACTTGAAGTGTTGAATACGTTTATTTTGGCACACCACAAAATGGAATAGCAGACCACAAGCAGACCTGGCAGGCACACTAGAGGGTGAATGAGAGAATGGGAGAGTGAATTAATAAGGTTAAAATGTTCATATACGTACATAGTAAAATGTCTGAGTCATCGTGATATTTAAGATTAATATTAAACCGAAAACGATGAGTAAGCGCGTGTTTGCAAGCAATGCTTAGTCGTACAACTCATACAAACCAGACAATAAAAAATCAATGGGACACATGAGTTGTTGTTATACAAATGGCTTGGTTAAATAAATTAATCGAATAGCTTGACCAAATTAAGTGTAAGCAAACTCAAATATATGTGGAGGCACTACACGATGACGATGTGAACCTCAAGGTGCGGTTGTGCAGATGTCTTTGGGGAGCAACCGTCCGATGAGTCTGTAAGTTGTTTGTTTAGGTTGCGATAGAATATAGATATCATGGCATTTCGAGTACTTAGTTTTACCTCGTTTTTAACTGCCGACTGTTCAATGCATGCAAGGTCCTTCTGAAGTCAGTCGGACCCTCTTTGCTTCTCATGGCCTTACAGATCAATGCCACTGAGCTAACTACTTCTTATAGTTTATTAGTGAATATCAAGTAGAGAAGTGAACCTAAGATGGCCTCCAGTGAAACGCCCGATTTTGAGACTCGCTAACTCGCGTGCACTCTAATTACCTTGTGCGAAACTTTCTATTCTTAAGGTGGTTTCTGATCCAAGATATCATCGGGTAAGTGAAGTCCATTTCCGCAACTGGGAGTGCATGGAGTACTGTGTCTAAGGCTTTTGCAACGTCAGGAAATATTGTGCGCATCGATATTACTTGTTCCCGACTAGATATCCAACTCTCCCACGCTATGAGAGGATTGGATGCGTACGACATGCGTTTCCGAAACTCGTGTTGAGCATCTATGTGGGTAAGATCTTCACTATTTGGACCTTTGAGGGAACAAATACCCTGGTTTGTAGGTTCTATTCTGTCATGAACTTATTCATATGCTTGTGATTTGCCTGTTATTTTGACAGCTAGCTTCGTTTGAAAGGGTCGCTGCATTGGTGAACAGATAGTCGGTCAGTAATAAAGGAATCACAAAGGAGCTGCAGTGTCTCTGTTTGATACAGTTGCAGGAGTTTCATTATTAAACAAAGAACAGTGTAAGAGCCATGTGCACTAGCTGCCTACACCTTAGTGGGTCATAATTTAGACTTTCGAGGTTTCTAAACATTCACTAAGAGTTGGTGATAATTAAAGATTTCTTGTTCGTGGTAATTACAGGCCGTCAGCGAACAATATTAAGTGCGCACTAACGTATATGAGAAGGAGCGACAAGTGACAAAGTAGGAAGAAACGTGATGGTGGAATTGAGAATATCCGCCATACTTGAGTGCAACAAATTGACTGCTGTAGGAATAGCGTTAAACGATCCTGTGAGGAAATCAAATAATATTGAGTTTCTCACAAAATATACGAAGTTGAAAAGCCGTATGGATGTTGTGATAAAGTGAGGCATGCGATTCCGAACACGGATGGTAGAATGATCAGATTTACAACATTTTGTATTCTTGTGAATTTGGAGGCTTAGGTGAATCGGAGAGTGAAAAAGATATTGTAGGAAGGTGTGAGGAAAGAAGCGGATAGTCTATATTTACTGTGTATAGGACATAGTACATATTTATCGTATTTGTAAGTATTGGTTACCTCTTATAATTGGCGGTTACATAACGAAAGTCTACAGTATGTAACCTGTTGAAAATTTAAGCAACATCTCATATTTTTTCTGTGTATATTTGTGCATTGTCCATAGTTCTCATATTTATTTATGAAATAACTTTATCATTGTTCCGATATTCTTAAAGTGTCACATTAGTTAAAGATGGCGAAATCCTGAAACATGGAGGTGGAATAACCTTGTTCGTTAGAAATAATATCCCCATAAATTTATCGACAGCATACGACACAATAGTGGGGTATAGGTGTTAGTTAGTTACTGCTTGAATTGCAAAGGACATGAGCTGCTGATTGGTTTGTTTTAGTGCAGCCTCAACTGTCAGGTGAATGAGATCTTGTGAGACATGCTTAACACCCGGTCTATAAGCAGTTCGTGTTTAATTTTGCTGGACTCTGATGCGCCTTCTGTAGACTGGGAAATTTAAGGACAGAATCGTCAGGAGATTCCTTGAAATAGGAATTAGCGGACGTGGTTATGACAAGTAGCGCTGTGTCACAATACAAAAGAAGAAACTACGTACGACCCAGAATTCAAATCATCCTTACTAAATATCACATCACGTTATGAGGATAACGTCTCAAGCCTCGGTTTTATGCCACTTCCAGGTAGGAGTGATCATGCAATTCTAGTCTTTCATTAGCCAAGGAATGATCAATTCTCATTGCAAATTCCTTAAGCATATGTTTTAATCTATCGATAACCTGAGGTAGATTGCCGAAAGACTGGAAAATCGACATAATAAGTGCTATCCTCAAAACAGATAACAGACAAAAACCTGATAAACATCGACTCATTCACCTAACTCAATGATTTCTTTCTGAGAAGCAGCAAGGTTTCTCTATATAATGTTCGTATATAACGATAAAATGGGACACTACTGACACATGTCACAAAAAATTAAAAAGGTCTGAATACTCCATATTGTGTGACAATATACAACTTTATATATTTGAATAAAAGAGGTCAAACAGTACAATAGCATGTTTTTGAAGTCAGCAAGCAATGCGCAAAAAGATACAAAAGGATATATACAAAAAGCAAATATCTAAAAGCATGATTATCTGAAGTGTGTAGAAAAAAAATACTATGAATAGAGAAATATCATGTTCAATGTGTTCAATAAGAAATCTTGATTGTATGTAACACACCACACACATTAATTAAAGTAGAAAATAGAAAATGAACAAAAGCTGGATAGAATGGATTGAATGAATAAAAATATCTCTTTCACAGAATAAATATACACTAACAAAAACTACAGCAAAAACTCGAAACATCATCATACTACTTTACATACATAATTCAGTGCACATAGACAGACAATGAATGAATGTTTCAATAGCGAGAGATAAAACAAAATTTACACAGAATTATATTCACTTGTAAAGTAAACGAAGTTGATCTAAGCATAAATGAAACGCTTTCATCATGTATCTGAAATGAAAGAGAAGAAAAACAAACAAACAAGATGACAATAATAATAGTAAAACACATTGATTAAAGGCATTCATTGTATTAACAATGCAGTCCAATTGTAAACGGATACAACAATGCGGTTATTGACAATCATCAGTCAGTTAAAATAAAAACAATTTTACGAAAAAGAAATCTACCAATAATCAAACACTCTCGAAATATAGTCGAACCATTGTTATTGAGTGAACGATACACATATTAGATCAGATGAGTAAAGAGTGAAGAGCAAGAGATGACGGAGTTATGAATATTTATCGACCGATAAGTGTCATGGAGAATGACCTAAATGGATGGCGTTTTATAATATTTTCTGCATCAATATGAAGTAGACAATTGTGTTGATAGCGTGTTCAGCATCAACCGATGGCTGTTTGCCACAGAATAGTATGTATGAACGCGTAAGTAAGTAATTGACTTAAAAGGCATATTGTAGAATCTAGTAAATTATATGCATCTCACAATGGTGATGTACATACGTCTTAGAGACACTTTTTGTCAGGCGTTAAGCGATCAACTAAGATTTCAAACGATTATGAATTTCACTAGTGTAAGCAAGATATTATTCTCTAATTCATACAACACATATGAGGGATTAGTACACCACATATAGTACTATTGAAGATGATTTTTAAGTGATAAAATGGGTAACTTTGTGTAAAATATACGAAGTTCGCAGTATATATGCCATCGAATGAAAATTGAGTTTAGTGAGTTGTTCAGCAACAATAAATGGAACAACATAGTAGCGTTCCCGGTGGAGAGTCTGCTCTCAATCTCGAATTCCTCATATGTGACCACGCGTATGATAACCATTGTCAAGTAAGTCCTACTCACTACCTTCTCGTGGCAAAAGTATTGACTGCGAAATTGAAAGGACGAAAACTCAATGGCCTGACGTTCAAACTAAGTTGGTGGGTACAGAGGATCCACTTAAGAGAGTTGACAAACCTTGATTTCATACCAATGGTATACATTAGCAACTTTGCCTAATCTGTGGTTGTGTAACAGTTGAAGAGAGTGGGACTCATCAGTAGATTGTATTGATTTTCTCAGTCTTGACCAAATAATGAAATTATCACAGGAATCGATTTATACACTAGATATGCATGTAGTTAATTGTTCATATGACTTTTGTTTCACGTGACTGTATAGGTTCAACTGTTTTTTCGAAGAAAATAGTGTACAGACAAAGACGGACACAAAGTTGATTTACAACAACAGTACCGGAAAGAAGCAATTCCCTCCAAGGGTTTGTTTGAGATGCACAGTCAGTCATCAAGTCAACAACAACAACAACATAGAACTTCGTACGTATGTTCGTACATACAAATCAGCAATAAGACTAGTTCAACTATATCGACCATCACTAACATAAAACTCGGCACAGATACATATATCGGCCTAAATTGTCAGACGAGATGAAAATAACAACACAAATCAAAACAATATAATAGCAGTGATGAAGTCAAAACCAAATTTTAGGAATATGGAATAGACAGAATGTGGCTAACAATTGGAATCCACGACGCGCGTTTCATCTTATTTGAGACTTGTCAACTGCATGTACCTGCACTTGAAAGTTGATGTTCACTCCGACACTCAAACTCAACACAGTATTTTTCAAACGCCATCGTGTTGTCTACTTAGTCACTGCTACTGAGTGCAGATAGCCACTCACTTATGGCTTCCAAATGGAACTTGGGAATATGGTTTAGAAAACAGAGTGTAAATGAATGACTTTATGCACTGCTCTTAGCTTTCTTCCAAACATTTCGTTAATGACTAGATTTCATATGGAGGGTATGAGTACTATTGTATGAGATATAATAACGTCATGCAGTCACATCTCAGTGGTCATGTTACTTACTGATGAAACTCTTAAAACATGAGAAACTTTATGCAGTCAAAAGAAAACCATTTTTTTATTTAGTTAATGAGTTCGATAATTATCTAAAATCAGCTTGTATTTCAGTTGTTTCAAATGTTGAATTATAAGTTCCTACCTATGAAATTCATTTGAACTGGTATATGTGAATGAAGCTGTAATCATTAGTTTGAATAAAATGGGTGTTGTTTACCAGTCAACTTAAATAAATTATAAACCGACAATTCCAGTTGTAGTTAGATCAAGGTATCAATTGAAACTAAAATTCAAGTTTGTCTATCAAAATATTGAAATAAAATGTTACACTGTATAGCAGCTAGCTATTAACTGTTTTAAGCATCCACACTCGGTATATGCTTCGAGTAAGTAGTTATTTAGTGCAGTGAGAGAGAAGAGAATAGAAAAACTTCCCAATTGAGACTCACATGATTTCACATACAAAAATTCAATAGGTTGTTGCATATCGAAGAGAAACAATGTGTTCTCTGAAATCGATATTAATATTATCCTACTTCCATTTGTTTTTCCAGCTACTCACCCAACTTCACTATTTTAATATCGCGATTTATGGTATGAAAGTGCATTCTACACAAATGGCTACAATGATTGTCAATCAATCAATCAATCAGTCAATCGATAAGATGGGAAAGTGTAGCCTTCAAAAGATGCTTATATCTAATTCAGATGATATAATCATGTATTGTCAATGAATTTCAGCCAGCTTCACTATTTTAATATCGCGATTTATGGTATGAAAGTGCATTCTACACAAATGGCTACAATGATTGTCAATCAATCAATCAATCAGTCAATCGATAAGATGGGAAAGTGTAGCCTAAAAACTTCAAAAGGTATTTTTTTACCTAATTTTCAGAGATAATCATGTGTTGTCAATGAATTTCAGTAGTATACAGCGTATCTTATACAATGATGATGAGAAACATAAGACACCTTGTTATAATATGTAGATTGATATATATTCATAGGATATACAGTGTTTTCCACATACACCCAATCATCTTACAATCCTTCCTAGTTGACTATACACTAGCAACTTAGTACTATACACATATGTATATATCCAAACTAAAATTATCATATTAGAATGTTTAGAAATGTGATCAATTGAAAAATAAACATCATATTGTGAACATACTCATGTTTAAGATTCAATAACTTCTTCAATTCTATATCGGAAAAGTGATCATCATGCAAAGAATTGAACTTTGATGGATGATAATAAGTTTTTGGATGAAAATTGGCTTTCTTTGTCAATATGTGATTGACTGTTTGTGATTTAGGATGAACACTGATTTGAGAATTCAGCATACCACTGTTGGGAATATTTGTCATTATTATTTGTGGACAAGGAGTTGTGTATTTTTCCAACAGCTGGTCAATACGATCAATTGCTTTGATGATCAACGATTCCAAATGTAAATGATTCTCTGGTCTATTGTTGAATGAATTATTATTCTTCAGTGTATAAGTGTTATCATTGTTGTCATTTAGTTGACTGTTATTATTAAGAGGCTTAATGATATGCAGACTTTTTGATGTGATCAATTGAACTAGATCAGTCAATGCTTCTGCCTCCGAATGGGCACGAACATAAACAGATCTGTGAAACATTGAGTTAAAAAAAAACCCACACAATTCAATACACCATGAGGTTATATATATGGATTCAGCTTACAACACAAGTACGACAAGATTAACAGTGGACCACCGTATATTGTTCGAAGATAACTAATGGGAATTTAAATAAACAAGATGGATAGTTCAATGCTGAGTGACAGTTACAATCGGTTCAGATTTTGTCAAAAAAACCACTCACCAATTCCTGATAATTTTTATCAAGTTCTCCATAAAACGTGTCCATTGACCTTATTTCATAAAACACAGTCAGTTACAAGGTAGGACCTGGGTACAGGCGTACATCAGTTGAAGCTGCCATCTGACATTAGCACAAAGATAAGATTGTCCGGTCAAATCCTACAGTAGTAGCGGTAATAACAATTTATGTGGTAATAGAAAATATCGCGCAACAACGATACGCTTCAAGAATGTATAAATCAGTGAAATAACATCAAAAGAATTATGAGCAATTCAGAAAATCAGAATTTGGAGAAAAGCAAACAATGGAGGCATCTGCGCTATTGCTAACGATGAAAACAGTACTCTTGATCATTTTTATAAAGCACACTATAAGCTACCTGAAACAATAAGAAATATTCTCTCTTAGATCACCAACAGGAATGATACAACTAAATACACATAATTCTCAACATTATGCCTCCAAAGCTAACAGAGGTCTTGTTCATTGAGTATAGCAGCAACAACAGTGATACCTAACCATTGACTACCACCCACTGAAATATCAATAAAGGAATGACATTCGGTTAATGAGCTAACCAGTGACTTGCTGTGTTGCTTAATGTTCGGAACGCATAGGATCAGAAATAAAGTTTTGAAAGTGGCAATACTCAGAGTCAAATGTTAACATACAACCATGTATTTATGGCTTCCGTTAGCGGAGTCTTCAACACTTCGAGGTAAAGGCGATTGTTTATGAAAGTGAGAGGACGAAAACCGAATGTTTAGAGCCCCGAATGGATTGGTGGATACAAACTAACTAGCATTTCAATTTCTTCAGACAAACATTAAGTCGCCCTATCTCAGCTTAATGATTTTCACCACCTTGAGCGATGGTAAAGCCACCGAGGAGCTTGTTCAACGCTTCGTCGTTTCGGATGGCCAATTGAAGGTGGCGTGGGATGATACGGGTCTTCTTGTTGTCACGAGCGGCGTTGCCAGCCAACTCGAGAACTTCAGCCACCAGGTAAACAGGGGCACCAGCACCGACGCGTTCAGTGTAATTACCCTTGCGAAGCAGACGATGAACACGACCAACCGGAAACTGGAGACCTGCACAGGCTGATCTGGTTTTCGCCTTGGCTCGGGACTTTCCAACTTTACCGCGTCCACTCATTGTCAGTTAGAGAAGAGAATCGTGTATCACAGTTCAGATGTCTATGAATCATCATTCTATAATTATGATAATAATAATAGTAATAATAACAATATTCCCCATATACAAATGAATGATAATCATTTACTCACTTCAAATAATTTAATCGTTTCTCAAGCATATCAGCAAAATCATTCATTTCAGTAAAAATATCATTCGATGTAATTGGACAATGATTAGATACTACTACTATTCTATTTGGAAATCGATCAGTATCAGATGATAAACTGGATGCCAGAAGTGAAGTTGAATCCTCATCCAATGAATGATCGTGTAACTGATCAGTTTTATTCATTCTCTTGTTAACTGTAATATTATTGTCTGCATTCCAAGCCAGTATACTATTTGTACCGATCGAGTCATAACTATCATTGAGTTTTTCATGGCATGTAAAGTTATTATTATTTAAAGACTTTTGAGAAAGATTAGAATGATGATTATGCTGTAAAGGATAATTGCCAATACTATGTTGTGTTTTAGGTGAATCTGGAAAAGTGTGTAGTTCAAGAAGACTTGAAGGAGCTGAAGTGTTAGACTGGAAAGGAGCTGTTTGTGTAACTGTTAAACTATGACCACGTCCACTACTTGAACTCTCATGTTTATCACTTATGGATTTATGAATTAATTCAACAGAAGAGGAGAAACTTCTGTCATCATTGATATTGTTCGAGTGTAATTTATCTTCATGTGAAGAGATTGACAATTGATGATCATTCAAAGCAACAGATTCAATAGAATTAACCTGATAAGGAGAATAGACGATTCAATAAAAGGAACATATTTATATGTTTAAATCAAAAATACTGGAGGAAGTAGACTTACGAACAAATAGGCAACTGTACGTGAAATTAACTGTTACTCATCTTTCTCTGTTTCGATATTTAGTTGTGCATCATCTTTACATTTTATGCTTTTATTTATAAGTTCATTTGTAAACGCATTTTGATTTCATGTGCATAAACTTCAGTCATTTGGATCTTCCGGTCAATCATCTATCTTTATATAGTTGAAGTCATGTAATCGCCGTCAATTGCACTGGGACAAATGGGGAATCTCGCTTTTCCTCTGTAAATCCTTTCAC